TGGCATGAAATGGCCTCAATTTGTTGCCCAGCCTGGAAAATTGATAATAATAAAAAACTTTTATTTGTATCCTGCCCTCCCCGACTGAGACCGGTCAAACCTGTTCTGAATTGGCATAGAATTGAAATTTGAAACTGCTTTTTTAACTGGGATAAAATAATTTAAATCCCCCGGTTTTCTCAGCCAGGACACCTTCATGGAGAACTACTTCACCAGCCAGAGGGACAACATCTTCCGCAACGTCGAGGTTCTGATTTACGTCTTTGACGTCGAGAGTCGGGAGCTTGAGAAGGACATGCACTACTACCAGTCGTGCCTGGAGCCATCTTGCAGAACTCGCCTGATGCCAAAGTCTTCTGCCTGGTCCACAAGATGGACTTGGTCCAGGAGGATCAGCGCGAGCTGGTGAGCGAAAAGGGGACCCCTGGCTTTAATTCTACCAAATGTTTCCAGTGTCATGGGGGTTGCCAGCGAGGCTGAACCTCTGTAAAGGAAAGGAAACCTGCCTCCAATTTGCCGTATTTGAGAGGGTGTCAGCGAAGCTGGGATGAGGGATAGGGTTATTATATTATTATTTTATTTTATTTTGGGAGCCGCCCAGAGTGGCTGGGGATATAAAGAATAAATTAATATTATTATTATAAATAGGGATAGAGATAGGTATAGGACTTTGGTGTTAGGGATAAGGGGTTCTTCCTCCCCTCCTCCTCCTCCTCCTCCTCCTCCTCCTCCTCCTCCTCCCCTTCTTCTTCATCATCATCTTGTGTTGGGAGCTGCCCCAGAGTGCCTGGGGAAAGCCAGCTGGATGGGCAGGTTATTAATTATTAGGGATAGGGGATAGATATAGGGGTTAGGGGTATCGGTTCTAGGAAGGTTGCCAGCAAGGCTGAACCTCTGCTTAAAGAAGGAAAGCTGTTTCTGATTGGCCATATTAAGAGGGTGCCAGTGAGGCTTGGACTTAGGGATTAGGGATAGGGTTATTATTATTATTATTATTATGCTGTTGGGAGGCTCCCAGAGTGGCTGGGGAAAACCCAACCAGATGGGCGGTGTATAAATAAATCATCATTATTATTGAGGGATGGATTTGATTTCAGTTGAATCGATTGAAATCACTATTTAAATCACTAGTCAGTAAGACTTGATTTAAACCCTTTTTATTTTTTTGACACAAATGTTCAGCCTCGCTGGTACCCTCTCAATATGGGCCAATCGGAGGCAGGTTTCCTTTTCAGATCCGTGAAATCCTTCCTGAACGTCGCATAAAGGAAGGATTTTACAGTTCTGGAAAGGAAAGCTGCCTCTGATTGGCCATATTAAGAGGGCCATATTAAGAAATGCTGCCAGGGTAGAAGAGGGAGAAGTGAGACGAATATTAAAGGAGGTAAACACAAGGAAGGCTATGGGCCCGGATGGGGTGGCTGGCAGGGTGCTAAGAGATTGTTCCGACCAACTGGCAGGAATCTTTTTGAAGATTTTAACCAGTCTCTGGCCCAAGCCACTGTTCTACCCTGTCTGAAATCTGCTACCATTATACCCCTGCCAAAAAAACAAAGATAGTCTGAATGATTTTCGCCCTGTGGTGTTGACACCCATTTATAATGAAATGTTTTGAAAGTCTGTTGAGGAACCGCATCATATCTTGGTTTCCCCAGTGGGACTTGACCCTTACCAGTTTGTGTACAAGGCAAAGGGATCCACAGAGGATGCTGTGGCAAATAGTTTACATGCTGTTCCTGACTCATTTGGAGAAGCAAGGGCAAGATTGTTATTTGTAGACTTTAGTTCTGCGTTTAATACTATTCTTCCCCATAGATTGCTGCCCAAACTATTAGACCTGGGACTTTCACCGTGTTGTCGTTGCAGGGTGGAATACAGTGGTAACCTTGGGTTACAAACACTTCCAGATTACAGATGCTTCAGGTTACAGACGCTTCAGGTTACAGACTCCGCTAACCACGAAATAATACCTGAAGAACTTTGCTTCAGGATGAGAACAGAAATCTGGCAGCAGCGGCAGCAGGAGTCCCCATTAGCTAAAGTGGTACCTGAGGTTAAGAACAGTTTCAGGTTAAGAATGGACCTCCGGAACAAATTAAGTTCTTAACCAGAGGTACCACTGTATTAGATTTTCTGTCAAACCGTTCCCAACGGATCAGGATGGGTTCCCACGTCTCTGCGGATTTCATCATGAATATGGGAACGCTGCAGGGGTGCGTGGTTGAGCCCGCTTTTATATACACTCTATACAGCTGACTGGGCCCCCCCAAATCCCAGTAATAAGATCATTAAGTTTGCAGATGATACAACGGTAGTTGGTTTAATCACGGCTGGAGAGGGGGAGGCGGCCTATAGGAAGGAAGTTGAGCAGTTGGGGGAGTGGTGCAGGAAAAACAGCTTACTTCTTAACTTAAAGAAAACAAAATAGATTATTGTGGACTTTAGGAAATGTAAATTGAATATTCAGCGACTTATTATTGAGGGCAAGGGTGTGGAACAGGTCTTGGTGTTTGGATTTCTGGGAATGGAGTTGAGAGATGACCTAACCTGGGGAGAAAACATCAAAGACCTTATGAAGAGAGCACAGCAGAGGTTATATTTTCTGAGAACCCTCTGGAAAAATAATCTTTCAAAGGACCTGTTGATGGCATTTTACCATTGTACTGATGAGAGTGTATTAACTTACAGTCTGTGTGTGCGGTTTGGGAGCTGCACGGTCGGGGGGCGGGAGCTGTCCAGGGTTGTAAAGACTGCAGAGAGAATAACTGGGTCAAATCCCACAGGGCCCTAGTCTTTTTGACAGAGCGTTCCACCAGATTGGAGCCACAGCCGAAAAAGCCCTGGCTCTAGTTGAGGCCAGCCTAACCTCTCTGTGGCCTGAGACCTTCAGGATGTTTTTATTTGAAGACCGTAAGTTCCTCTGTGGTACATACCAGGAGAGGCGGTCCCGTAGGTACGAGGGTCCTAAGCCGTATAGGGCTTTAAAGGTTAAAACCATCACCTTAAACCTGATCCTGTACTCCACCGGGAGCCAGTGTGTCTGGTATAGCACCGGGTGAATGTGATCTTGCAGCAAAGACCCCGTAAGGAGTCTCGCCGTGGCATTCTGCACCTGCTGGAGTTTCTGGGTCAGTCTCAAGGGCAGCCCCACGTAGAGCGAGTTACAATAATCCAGTCTGGAGGTGACCGTCACATGGATCACAGTGGCTAGGTCAGGGCGAGAGAGGTAAGGAGCCAACTGTTTAGCTTGGCGGAGCTGAAAAAATGCTGCCTTTGTTATAGCTGTAATCTGCGCCTCCATGGAGAGGGAGCTATCGAAGATTACACCCAAACTCTTAACAGACGGTGCTGGCACTAATTGCAGCCCCGCAAGAGATGGGAGTTGCCCCCTCAATTCCATATCGTCCCGTCCCAGCCAGAGGACCTCTGTCTTCGAAAGATTTAACTTCAACCGGCTCCCACGTAACCATCCAGCCACAGCTTCCAAACATCTGATCAGTGTGTCTGGGGCCGAGTCAGGATGGCCATCTATTGAGAGATAAAGCTGGGTGTCATCAGCATATTGATGACAACTCACTCCAAAACTCCGGCAAGGGGGGGCGCATAAAGATGTTTCATCCAGAAACCCACCAAGCTGTTCAGCAACCGCTCTCTCAATCACCTTACCCAGGAATTCGAAACTGGGCGGTAATTGGATAGATCTAAGGGATCTAATGATGTTTTCTTTAAGAGCGGGCGCACCACTGCCTCCTTCAGTTCCCCTGGGAATGTCCCGGTGCCAAGGGACAAATTGATGATATCCCCCCGGGGGGCCCGCACCTCGTCTG